ATTTCCGTTGAGTTCATTTGGTCGGCAGGGATTTTGTGAGTTTTAAAGAGGGTGTATAAGATTGGCGGGGTGGAATATTGAGATATTAGGTGTTTTATGAGGTTCTCAGGGAGGTTACGCTTCGTGCCTATAGCAAGCCAGGTATTGTTGATTTGTTGTACTGATTTTTGAAAATTTTTACTATCGGTGGGTTCATAGGTTGAGAGGTCTGATGAGTGGAGTTTTACAATGTCCCGGTCAAGTGTTTGAGGTAATACTACGAATTCTCCTCCTTTATCTGATACACTGATCCTGATTTGTCTCGAGTTGATCTTTTGTTTCAGAGATTTTAGTGCTGTTCGATCCTTGGTTGAGAGGTTTGAAGTTGTTTTTCGTGATTTGTATCGCAAATGCTCCTGGCCATATGTAGTCTACTCCGGACTATATATAGCCAGGAGCATTTGCGATAAACTTTAAAATAACCCTCTGTCGAGAGGAAATTTCAATTTCTCCACTATACATGCCAATAGTGACTATTGAATATCGCCATTGGTCACGCCAAGCGTCGTAACTCTCGTAACTTACCAATTGGCGAAAATGTTAACCAAGATTTTTGTAGTACTCGATCTCGGCTATAACATGGTATATATCACGATTACAAATTTTTTCTTCGGGTGGGTACCAACTCAAATTATTTGTTGAATTTTTGTACTTATTACGAAATCGAAATTTTCGAGCATATCTCGATTACTGGCAAATCTATCATATAAGTTTTATTTTCTTGATCTGCTCTATAAAATGATGTACGAACTTCCCGGATTCATTCCCGCTGAATGGGTAAGAAATTCACATTTCTGAACACAACACATCAAATGAAAATTCCACCTCCGTCACTTGGCGAAGTGTAAGCTTCCCGATAAAACTCCGACAATTTGTGCGTGTCCACCATTTTTGTCGGAGTCTAGACTTGTCGCGGACGTATTTGTCGTTCACCCATGACAAAACTCAACCGAATTGCCACACGTCAAGCCCACCCGCCCGTAGAAAAGTCTGCTTTGGTACACGCTCATTGTCTACTCCGACAATTATAAAAGGTTGGGGGAACTAGAGGATAAATAAAACTATATTGTTGTGGCACAAATACCGAACGATTCAGGGATTACTACCCTGGAATGCGTACTCAATCGTGTTTATTGCAGCACGTGTTGACTGCAGGTTTTTAGAAGGCGAGCTGAGACTGCGGTGAACGAAGGAAGTGGATTGAACACCAAGATTAGCCGCATATCGAATGCAGCAGAAATTGCACGCGATATGGATTTAGATTTCGACGAATTTGATGACGATGTTGAATTTTCAGCTGAATTGTCGAAAGGTTGGTGATAATCTAGTGATTATTCTTTTCTCATGCATTCATTCGTGTATTCGACATTGCACTGTTGTGCTGAAATAATGATAGTATGAGATGTGAAACACTTGTGGATGAGGACTTTTACTCTTCGACGGCATTACCTTGGCGTGTGATTATTTGGCTCGTGGAATCTTAATCACGTAACTTGATCGGCTTACCACTTTCAACCTTACAGTTACATTTAATTTAAAAAAAAATTGTGATCTGCTGTGTAATCAGGCGAGTTTCACTACGATTCTGATATCGATGATTAGGATTCTGAATATTGATGAGTAGTTATGTGGGTTAGATTGCTGGGATTTTGATTATTAAATGCGATCAAGAAATTAATATCTGAACCTCACAATTGTCCTCACGTTTAAGAAATAAATTAACTTGAATCACTATTGGATGAGCTTGATTTCATAGTGAACTGATTATGACAAATTTGCGTAAATTTGAAGCAAACTCACAGCAAAGCAGTGGAACGAGAGCAGCATTGTCATATGAGAGTGATGAATCGGTGATCAGCGAAAAGGAATTTCGTCGTGCACTGGATCGTTTCTATACACAAACACAAAATGAGAATGTCTGCGAGGCGGATATTGGTGAATATGAGCCAGCTGAGAGTGACTTCGAGCGATTACTCGAGGAGATCGGAATGCAGAGACGTTCGCATAAGGAAAGCGGCAAGATATCCACGTATATTGGTAAACATTCTGTTCGCTTCTTATGCTGTTTTATTTAGTTTTATTATCATTCGCATTGTTTTTGTAACGTTTCTGATCTGATCTGTCTTGTATCATTACTGTTTCGTTTTATCAATGCTTCTGATTATTATTGCTGTCATTGTTAATATTATTATTTTATTATTAAGGCCGTTTTGTTTTGTATTTATTGCGAATGTTAATTTTGTTTTGTCCTTCCAGCAAATCGAATGGCACATTCAGCATTCGTACGTAATTTAGATAAATACTTGTCTGTTGAAGAGGTAAATGAACGGATCATTCTTCTTCATTAATTTTGCAATTTTACGTAAAATATTTCATTCGAAAAGACAGTTTAATTCTATTTATACCGTTTTCAATTGGATGATTTGTCGTTTATTACAAACTCGTTTTGTTAAAATTCTTCTTATAATACTAATAAGAGAAGTGTTAATGATTTTTGTGTTATAGCAATTACATATCCGTTCTATAACTTGATATATCTTCTTTAGAAGAGAGCAACATTTTTGCGTTTATTCGAAGCCGATCTTGAAGATGATAATAAAACACTCGTTTATTTGTCACCAACAGTTAGTGAAAAGGGGCAAATGGTATGATTATCATTAGTTATTATTATAGTATTTTTTGTTTGAATTGTTGAGTTTATTCGTTAAAATAAAGTTGTTTTCAGGATACTTTGATTCGAGCGATGCTATTGACCAAAAATGCGCAAACGTCAGTTTTTGAGATGATCATGAAAAAAACTGAGTATTTTGCAAAGGAGTAAGTTAGAGATTTGTTCGTGTCATATTTGATTTCAATGGGAATGGTATCACTGATAATAATGAAGTTTAATTAAAGTGCGACAGGTGATAAAGGGTCGAGCGATCGAATGGCGTTGGCTTGTATTGCACAGATTCGTTATTTAGACGTGATTTATGAGCCGAAATTATTGTTCAATTCGATTTTTGATAGGAGTGTGGAGGAGTGGCGTTGCACACCTCGCGATACACTCATCCAAGCTCTTCCTGAGATTATTTCGAACGTATCACTTCAGCAAGGTTTATTCATTTTATTATTACTGTTCTCGTTTTCAACGGTTAACATCTTTCGTTTAGATGCTGCCGAAAATTTACGTCAAATGTTCCTGAAGAATATCTCGGACCATTCATATGCGTATCGAATTTCGATTTTACGAACATTAACAATTCTTCGAACCGATATCGAGCTTAGTGATAAGGTAGGAAACGTTTTCTGTTATAATTATAAAAGTAATGTAAAATGCGATTGCAGATTCGTGCGCAATTTATTCGCAGCGCAATGAGCGTAGAGGCAACGGTACTACCCGAGCTGGTTGGCTATTGTTTGAGTACAATTCAAAGGGACGACAAGAGATCGACCTTCAAGAACGTCTTATGTGCACTACGTGCTAATTTACATATCGATAAACTCAGATTGCCATCTAATCCTGCTGCACTACCAGATGCAAGGTTCGCCCATTAAAACAGTCACTGTTTCATTCTCTGAATTTACTTTACAGTTGTTCAGTAATAACAGATGTACAATGAAGATAAGGTATGTGCCCGAATTGATTCAGTGAATGAAATGAAATCTGGATAATGATGGTAGGTTGCTTATAGAAAGGTCGCCTCTATTGACGCAATACTAGCAGAAGTATTTGTTCAAATTTCGAAGTATTGCAAGTACGGAGGTGTGAAATTCTGGAAGCAAGCTGCGCAGGTGGTCGACGTGAGGAGCGCTGTTGAGGACGGAGCAGTTGACGGCAGTGACTGCACTCAAGGAGACGCAGTTGATTATTTAGACGAGGCGGTTGATCGAGATACAAAGGTATGAATGGTGATTTGATGATAAACAATATATGGGGAATAATGTGAGTATAATTGGTGTGATGTGTAAAGGAATTGGAATTATTCGACGTATTGTTGTGCTTTTGTTTGGTGGACGTCAAAGGTGGTTGTGACCGTTTGATGCAGTCCGCCTTCAGACATCAGCTTTCGCTCTTGAAACACCGATTACAGCTATTCGAAGAGATCACTGAAAAAGCGATTGCTTTCAAACAGGTATCTTTGTGCATTTCTGTGTTCATTTGCATCTTCTCACTCTTCGATCAAATTTCAGTTTTCAATACGTTTTTTGACACCGATACTATTGTTGAGTGAACAGCTGATTTTGACGTCAGAGAGCTACTTGATTCATTCGGGTGCATTTCTCTTGCAGAATTTATTCGTTTACATTGATGAAAAGTGCCATCGAGAAAGGGTATGATTTATACTTTTTTCTTGCTATTATCACTAACTAAATCGAGTGTATTTAAGATTCTCAATCAAATAACTGCTCATTTAACTGACGTTGACTGCGAAGCAACTGCCGCACTGAACGTGTTACAAAACTTAGTCGAAAATCATGTGGATATTGTGTTGCCGTTTATGGTGCAATTGCAGGTTTGTTTTATTGATAACTTTTCAAAATACATGATTAATAGGCAATAAATTTAGGAGATATTCAATTTGCTGTCTGTTTTTTCGACCGAAAACGTTCGACGTCTCTTTCAAATTCTCATCGTTTTACATGTTGCCAATAAAGAGAGCAGCACTTCCTCACAGTATCAGGTATTTTGTTCTTATTGTTATTGTTGTTGTTACTATTACTACTTTATTATTTTTATTATTACAGTTGTTATTATTATCTTCATTGTTATCATTACTTAAATATTTCAGCCAGAAGTGTGTACATAATCTATTTAATAAAATACGTATTTTATATTGCTCAGCAGGATTAACTTGTAGTAATAAATCAGCTTTATTAAAGGACGAATTCGAAACGGAAATCGAACGGATGCTTTCGTCACCGTATGCACGTGAAAATGTTTGGGGTGTTTTGGGTATGCTAATGAAATTACAAGTTCATATACGACAAAAACGTACAGAGTGAGTTGTTTTTGGTGTGGATACGTTTTTTGATAGTTATATTTATTGATTAAGAACAAAGATAATAAGTGAAACGTTGGATGGTTTGGATAGAGCGACCAGAGGTAATAGTGATGTTCGTGCCGTGTTCTACTCGAATTTAGCACGACTGCTGGATGAGAATCCGAGAATGGAGCGAAGTGAAGCGTTGGTCTGTGACTTTTTGTCTTATTGTTGCTGATTCAGTGATTGATTGACTTTGATTTTAGATAGACTACAGTGAACGGTTACGCACTGAATTTCGTGAGACATTCTTTGAGCAACGTGGCAGAGAGGAGATTTCATCGAAGTGAGTTAAAGTACAAGCGATTTCAATTCATTTGATTTATTTGTTCATTTTCAGCCGCTTAGAAGATGAACGCTACACGCGTTCAGAATGTTGCGAATGGCTGAAATTGGGTGAACTGGTAAGCGGTGAGGGGCATCATCAGTTATTGACAGTGGAGAATGAAGATAGTGGCTCGATGAGGAAGGGGTCAACAATAGCTGAGTTGTTGTCGTTATTCGAATTGTTGCGTGCGTTTGCTAAACATCGTCGACGCTGGGAGGGTGATGATAGCCAAGAGGCATTCTTTAATCACTGGAATCGTTTCATGTTCGCGTTTGGTTAGTGATCTTAGTTTATTATTATTATTATTATTATTATTATTATTATTATTATTATTATTATTATTATTATTATTA